GGCACCTATCAATTTGTCGCCTCTCTTCAAACGTTATCCTCGCCGTCCATACGCGTCTGACCACTATTAAGTCACCCTCCACTGCCACCGACAGATTACGGTAGCTCACCAGCAATTACTAATCTCGAATCGGCGTGGCAGCGCAACAGGCGCCGCGGCATCAGTCAGTGACACGCCTGGGCGTTGCACCACGCCTACATCCACCTCGGAGGTTTCGGCAAAGCTAATACGACGGGCGGATACGACAGGCTGGTTACGGTCTTGTTCGCTTCGGAGGCTCGCGGCGTTTCAGAGGGAGATGGCTTTGTCCGGGAAGCGCCAGACCTGCTTCTTGACCCACTGCGGAAACTGGACAATCGTTTAGAACAAGGTGACGCCGCGCAATCCAGATCTTCTTAACCCCCAAACGTTCTCAGCGAGTAAGGATGGATGCGGATAAGGGCACGCCCATCACGCTTGTGGGCAATGTTGCAAAATATGGACTTCCGAAATTCTCCCGTGGTACGACCTGTCCATATATCGCGCATATTGCCAAATTTTCCTTAAATTTCTTATCTCGATGAGGCGGATGCGTGGTGTAGCTGATAGATGCGCGCTTACCACTCCTGCGCTCCTTGGTTCAAAACATCATGATCGACTCCCGCCAGGCCAATCAAGCCTTCTATCCTACGCGAGACGTTGAATTAGTAACCTGATTCGTCGGGAGATAAGACAGTGACATGCGCACTCCTTATTTTAGTTCCGCTATCAATATTTTATCACTTGTTCACCATCTCAAGATCACCAAACGGCGTTGATACTGAGAAAGAATGATAGTTCCCGACCAGGGTGCCAAATAACCCAGGTCGAGTTTGTACCCAATTCGGTGCCAAGAAGATCGCTGGCGCCAAAGGGCGCTCGCTAGCGCCAGGTGGCGCCAACTTTGGAAGACAACGATACTCGTGACAAAGACGTCAAATGACCTAGTGTAGAGGTTTCTATCAAATTCGGTGTCAAAAAGATCGCTGGCGCCAAAATGGCGCCTACTGGCGCCATATGGCGCCAATAACAAATGAGATCTCACGTTCATGATCAAAGACCCGCGCAGTCCCTGCAGCCAAGTAGCTAGTTAAAAAATTTCGATTTTTAATTGAAAATATCTCATGGGGGCAGCCACATTTTTCTTGTTCATCCTTGTTGGAAACTCACCATCCACAGGTCCGAAAGCAAGAAAAAGATCAATTGCAACTGCCGGCAGTAACCCAAAAAGTGATGGAGAAAGTCATGAGCCACCGGTGGCACAGATTGTCCCACGTGGCCACTCACTTATGAGCCACCGGTGGCTCAGGATGTCGTCAACATGTTAGTCAAAATGTGGGATGGGAGTGTGCGATCCGGCGCGAATCGAGCTCCAGACATAGAAATACTTTAAACCAACGATTGGGACGCTTAGGCCGTTTTTATTTTCATGATGTGTCGGAATGCGCGGCCTCCGAGGGATGATGCAGAAGCAGCGCAGTTGCTCTTGAGTTCTGGCCCTCGTCATCATCTTCGGTTCTTATTTTGCAGCACCTCAAATGTTATCCGCATCAGGAAATTGCGTTTTACTTTTATTCCAAAGCGCAATTACAGGACTTGGCAAAGTGCCAAGAGGGCCGCAAGCGACACACACGCTTGCGACGGATGTTAGCATGAAGTCCGGGAGTCTGCGCCGCAAAAATGTATAAGGCGGAGCATGGAGGAATTAGCGTGTTTCACGGTCCTGTATCTCCATTCCTGCGCATGTTAGAACGGTGAAAGCGCTACGCTTCGACAGCTGGGAGGCTGTTAGTCACGCATACCTAAACGTCTTCATCATTGCGGACCAGTGGAGCGGGGGCGGCAGCGTTTGGCGCAGTGCCAGAGTCGTTCTGCACCAGCTGTTGAAGAGGGCAAGTGGCTTACTATATTATATCCTTCGTATTACTCGCTTTCTACCACTTTTTGTCGCATACGCGTTCAGACAAAAGAAGCTTGAGAACGGCTTCAACAGTGTGCCACACTCATGGCGCTGACACGTCCCCACACGGCTCCGGCAATGATGAGAGATTGTATGCGTGACGTACCTGGGTCTTTAAAATAAAACCGCTTGCGACTCGGTTACTGAGGCTACAATGCTCCTTCCTGTGGGATATATACCGTCGCATATCATCAAATGATTATGCACTAGGCCAAAAAGTGAAAAAAAACGGTAATAAAAGGCTAGTAACTGTTCTCGCCGTTATACGAGTTAGAATGTATTAAGATTGATAACATATTTTTCACGGGGTTATCGGATTCTACTTGTAAATTTGTGGTGGATTTCCTCACTTAGCAAATTTCTATACATTTTGAATAAAATAAATAAGATCAGCGCTATGATGTTGGGAGCATGACCTCCACTCGGAGAAGAAGAACGTTCTTTGCTATGACTTCATAACCTTCACTGAGTCGCTTTTGCAGAAAGGTACAGGCTGAAGGGAGTCAGCCATGAAAACCTTTTTGGCACAGAACTATCCACATTCGAAACCTGTTGTCTAGGTTCAAAAAATGGACATGGATAAGTCATAATAACAAGGAGATCATGTCCAGGCACCTGAGATTGACAAATCAATCGAAATGTTAGACCAATGTGAGCAAATATCCCCAACCTCGTATGGTATAAAAAAGTGCAAGATTCCGCAAAGTTCTCATTGACTTTTACAGGATAAACGCCCACCGAAACAACGCTCTACTACGAAATCGTGCAGTCCTTTAAAGTACACTGCTGGAATGCAGCATGACATACATTTATAAATATAAAATATAAATATAATGAAGCTGGAGTGACGAGCAGAGTGGATTTCTGCTCAGAATCATTCATAGCAACTATCTGTCGATCCTCATTTCGTGTGTTCTAACGATCATTATGAAAGTGTATTCGGGAAATCGACCGCTATCGAACGCTAAAACGCGCTCCATTTGTTACACTGACGTGTGCAGCGCGCATGCACTGTCGTACACGCGCGTGTGGTATCCCCCTACCCTTGTACAGCATTGGAACCGCCTGTAAATTCACAAGTTGCCGCTCACACAAAGATTCTATGTGTAGCTGTTGTCGTACGGGTTCAACGTATTAGCACATTTACTATTCTCGTTATAACACAAATATCTTTATGAGATAGGGCAATATCTTTCCGCTTTAAATAGTTTTTAATAGTTCATCATAAATAGCGTTCGTTGTGGAATTTACAATTCGTCGATGTAAAAAGTCTAGTATCGAGGTCACTTCTTATAGGTTCACGTCGCGACACGTCTATCTTTTGTCACCTTGGAGAATCGTTCGTTCGATCGATTACTATTGCCATCATTACACGTGGAATGTGTATTGATCGGAATTCCCTGTCTTTGATTTTACATTAACAAGCTACAATACTGCTCCTATAGAATCCCCAACCCATCTTGTAAGTCCCAGCTGCTGGTCAAACTAGGCGGCTTAATGTTGCGGTAAATTGACACGTCATTAAGTGACATTTCTCCCTGTATGCTTTTAATTCCCTGCTCGTCACCCATTTGCTTTTCTTCATTGCTTGAGTAATTTATTGTTGTTTGCTCTTAACATAATGGTTTCTTTTTCCATAAGTATTCGATTTCACGGTGCTCGTTCTGCTTTAGTTGGGCTGACGTCAGTGTATGTCGCTCTTCTGGGAGCATGTCGTATCAAACTCACCCACTGCACAGGTAAAGTTCTGCTTCTGCTTTGTTACTTTGCTATATCATACTTCTTCAGTTCGTTTTCGCTTCAGAATGTGAACCATTCTGGATTGGGCGGGTCTGGGAGTGGACAACAAGGCCACACGAACGGGAACTGGGATTGTATCAATCTTGGTAATGCACACTCGCAACAAAACCACTATGGTTGGAGTGAGCATGCCGCTGCGCATACGGTGTGTTTCTTTTCTAAAACAGGTTCTCTTCTTTAATGAGAAGTTTCGAAGCCTTTCTGTAGGATGCGAATCGTACAACGGCATCCAATTACGTCGATCCGTATAGTGCCGCTGTAATGGGCGCGTATCAGCAAGGAACTCAAAACGTCGTTTATCCTTATCAACAGCGAGGTGGTAAGAATTTCTCAGTATCTTGAACACTTGAATTTTTGACTTGTATGACTTTGAATAGGGTAGGCTTTGTATTATTCTTGAAACTCATTCGGTTTCGTATCATACCGATCCTCCTTCCTGTATATTTTCTTACGGCATAACGCGACATGCGTGTTTTTTCATGGATTCGTGGTTAGTAAGTCTTTCCTCTTTTTATTCAGTATCATTACTGTCCGCTTACTACATCGTTTGACAATTAAATCTAGTGTCTCTTTTGTCACCTCCTTCCTTCATTTCCTAATCATACCTTTTTTCCGTCATTCAACTAGTCGGTAAGGAATTAGTGACGTGTTCTGATCCCGGTCTGATTGTTCTGATGTCCTTGTTTAATGTACTTGCAGCTTCTTCTGAAAACTATGCACAAAGTACTACATCTCAGGGAGGCATGCCCCAACATGTAGCTGTAGACCAGGTCTATGTTTATCAATTTTACTCGTAGAATTTATGTGGTTACCAATTTTATCAATGTTTAGAACTATTACTACCATCAGCAGAATTCACAGCAACAACTTCAGCAGTCACAAACGCAAAACCAATCTCATACGAAACCATCTGCTGCTCAAAGTGTTCAGCCAGTGGCATCGCAGCATGTTCATCATACTTTGGTTTCCACACGGCAGCATGTGCAACAGTCGAGTCATCAATCGAAACCAGTCGAGGTATATAGGCTCACATATTAACTAGCTTTGACTAACTCGTTTTTAATGAACTTGGGGTTGGGGAAAATACGCTTCTTTTTAAGTTTTCATTGTCTGTGTATGTATGCATGGCCGGTCGAAGGCTAGCTTCCTAGATGTGCAATTTTTTAAGGCTTCTGCATGATTGTGGCTTTAAAGCAAATATAGCCACCCCCCTAACCACACAGCCCTTAAATAGTGGGATGTGAGGCGATCACATTAATAACTTGCATAATGTCAGCTAGTTCCTCCCCTATTGTTTATTTGGGGTGTTAGCCGTTTTATTTCCCGGCCCTCCCAATGATTATCCCTTCCATTGCGCTCTCTACCGATCGGTGTAGTACTTTGACCATTAAAGAGGGGGGGGGGTTCTGGTGGAGCGCTGCTCCATTATGCAATGCCGCAGGAACTGCTTATTAGGTAAGAAAAATGGATTTCCCAGCACCCTCGCGTGTTTCGTCGATACCGTTTGTATATGGGCCTCCAGCTTTCTCCCACATATTTGCCCGCATCCTTGACTTACCACAGATAAACTGTCCCCCTGCTTGACAGATTTTAGAATGCATTGCAGTAACTTACAGCCTGCCCCCACGTTTATCTTCATAAGGCCTGGGGAGAATGTAACGAGCCGGGGCGTAATAGGAAGTGGTGAAGCACTTTGACAATATTATTACTTTTTAATGCGTGCTTTCATTTAGCGTAGGAAATACCTAGGGAATTCGCGTCCGCCGTGGATGCGCCGGATTTCCCATGTATGGGTGCGGGTGCTTGTATACCCATTCTCTCTTAGAATTCTATCCAGCATCGAGTCTGCTCTGATGACCTGCTGGGTGCACTACACCTAAAGCGACTATCAAGTTAGATGCGTCGGTGACGCATACAGGTTTTTTTTTGATGAATACTCGTCCATGGATGACTTTTTCTTCGTAGATGCAGATTTGTGAGCCAAGTATGATAGGAGCAGGTACGTGTGATAGTGCCTTTACGAGAGGAGACGGTCTTTATACCACGCGACATCGCGTGCGTGGCAATCTGCAAACACCGCGTTCTTGCAATAGAGCGCACGCTCGCGATAAACTCGTTATTGAACTAGACCGTCGCTTCACTTTCCAGCCATGCTCTTCATTTCGGTAATATCTAGGTAATATCCATGACAATTAGATTTTATTTTATTTGCATAACTAGAGTGATTGCGTGGCAGTTAGGTGCAGAAAAACCTGCGCAGTTCCTGTTCATGATTTGATTTAGCTTACCTGCTGATTTCTAATATTTCGACAGTCCCAATGCTTTCTGGACAGCATACTTCAGAGACTGTACTTATTGTCGCTCTGTTGAGGACGAACTGTCCTATTGAAAAATAGCGAAATACCATTGTCGCGATAAGAGAACCATCACCCGCGCCGATCGTAACAATACGGCCTTTGTAATTGTCGCGCGCGACGCCGCATGGTCCCACCGTCACATACTCCTCTACGAGAAAAGTGGACAGTTATCTTTGACTTGGACTCGCAGAACTTGTCAGTTGCCAAGGTGTTAGATACCATCACTTGAGCAGCTCGGGAGATTTGCATGTTTTATAAAAGTGAGTATTGAGTAGTATTTTTGGTCACTAGAAAGAAGAGAGTAACTCGTGAGCCCACACCCGTTATTACCCAAGTATATGCGCTAGCACGCGATAACCTGGCGCTAAGCTAGTCACGTTACGACCATGCGTTCAGTATCCATTTAGTACTTACGAAATAGAGCATGAAAGCGAAAGAGCAAACTAGCTGACGAGACGATTCAAGTTTTTCACTGGCACATGATTTAGCGTTTATAGCTTGCGATCCACCGAGTGGGTCGCAGATGCAACGCGTGGCCTATTTTGTCCTTAGTGATATAGCTTATAGCTTGTTCTGCGTTGTTTTTCATGCCTAATTGAGGAACACGTTATAAATTATACGTACTCAGCTCTACAGCTACAACAGAGCCGAAAAAATGACCAAATTAGCCTATTCTGCGCAACTTGTTTTTTTCCTTTTTTTTGCATTCCCAATAGCGTTTAGCAAAATTGAACCACATCTTTGTGGTCCTTGGATGGACCACTACATCATGCAACAGACCTTTTGAAAATCTCACCACGACCTGAACGACCTCCCTTGTAAGTGTCCAAGGCTACGCGTCGCTCCTCTGCGAATCACAGCTTCTCAGTTTTCCCGAACGGCAGAATGCGTCGTAATCACAGATTCTGCGAAATGGCAAAGGGTTGCAAGCTATGAACGCTACCTTACTCTCTCGCGACATAGTTGCGTCCGATGCAATTATGTGTGTGCAACACAGACTTTGATTGCATCTGACCCTACCACAGTTGCAATGGGAGCTCAGATTTTTTAGTTGAGTTAGCCATCTGTTAACTGATATTTCCTCATTTCCCATTGTTTTAGCAGCAGAGTGTTACTTCGCAGCCGTATGCGCCAGAGTGTTCTGAGGCACAGCTTGTACCTTTGGCTGTGATTTCTCCTGCTGTTGCGTTACCCAGCACTGCTCCTCAGCAGAATTCACAGTCCGTTGTTCAACCATTCAACTCACGATCAAACTATATTGTGGTCGAAAGTCAGCAGCCGGAGCAGTTCCAAAGTCAGCACGAAAGAGGGAGCAGTTCTCAAGAGCACAAATCGAGTGATGATTGTTTGGTGGACGATGAGGCGTCTTCACCGTTGTCGTATCTGGCCGTACATCCTGTGCTGTCTGTGCAATCCCCGCCTATATCACCAGTGTGCGATCCAAACGTCGTTGCACCTACCGGTGATTCTGCTCAGGTTACACCTGAATCCTCCTATTCGGTCGACACGTTCGGCTCTGGGATATCGTCCATTGATAATCCCGAGCAACAGAAATTTGTGAATTCTTCGTCAGGTGGTGTTCAGATGCCTCAAACGGTCGTACGATCCGAAGACAATTGGGAGGACGATTGGGAGCGCACCGAGCATCCGGAAACAGGCGCCGCGAGAGAGGTATCTCATCCACACTTCTCTTTACCTTCTATACAGCACTTTTTCATGCATGTGTTGTGTTATTATGTTTGACGCATATGACACATTTAGTCGTAACGTTATCGTACGTGAATTAGTTTGTTTATCTATAGATCTAATAATAACTGTTTAATGGGAACGGGAAAGCTTTTTGGTGTTCCATCTGAATTGTTCTTTTAAGGTGACTCCAAGCGATGTTGGAAGTCAGACGCAATCGGAACCACCTGGCTGTTCATCATGCTACCCTGATACGCCGTGTACGTCGAGACAATAATTGTTAACTTTTGTTTTGTTAATTCAAATCTTCTTCCGTTAATCGTAATGGGAACTTTTTTGTTTTTATTCTTGTGAAGGTCCCGATAGAGTCCAGCATTTCAGTGGCGCGCTTCATGATGTCAAAATACAACACTGTGAGCGCTAAGTGAGACCTGCTAAGAAAGAAAGAAAGCAGAGGCGACCTCTAATATCACTCCCTTTCCTGTATTAGATTTGAGCAATCAGCATCGGATCTCACGGCGAGGAGAGATCCGATGCTGATTGCTCAAATCTAATACAGGAAAGAGAGTGATACTCGCCCGAATGAGAGACCACTCGATAAAGAAACGAGCAGGACTCCAGATATAAAAGTATACGAGAATCTTTTTCATTTGACGAGGAACATGAGTCCTATTGGCAAAGGGCTAGCGAAATAGGCTCTTAACGTTTTTTTTTCAGACACCTATGACCCACAAAATAAGCACACCTGCACTTGTAACTTGCAAAGAAGTGCCCCATTTATGCACTCACCGCCTTGTATTATACTTTTGAGCAGCTTTTTCGGCAAGGCGGAAGCATAACTCACTCTTACTTGCATAACTACGGACGATAAGAGAAAAATTAAAGAGAAATTTTCCTTCACTGGAAAAAAAGAGCTTTTTCCCAGTGAAGGAAAATTTATAGAACGGTAATTTGCGAGAACGTTCCCGTTTATTCACCAGTTACCCTTGCAGGTGCCACAAGGGAGAGTTCAATGGCCCCTCATGACTCGACACCACATCGTAGCGAAATCACTAACGAAGCAGTTCGCGTTGTGCCTAAGTCGGGAACACCGTCAGCCGTAGTTGCAGTGACGAGATATGGTAGGCTCATTTAGTAAATCGTATGAGTTGAGGTTTACTTTTTCTTGTACTGTCCCTTTCTTTTTCACTAGACAAATAATGATCGAAGTGTCAAGAAAGAATTTAAACGAAAATTTCCTGTCTTCTCCTACCTGTGGCCACTTCTTTTTTTTGACGCCGAGCATTTCGCCCCAGCGCTGAAAGGCGTCGAAACAATTTTCCCTCGTGTTGTACTCCAGCATTAGGGCACAATGTCGCTAAAAAGTGAACTGTATAGCATCAGCCCTTCTGCTGCATGTTCTCGAATTTCACTTATTTCCTCAATATGGATCTGCCCTTAACCCATTTTCCGTAATTCGCAGCGGAGTATTATTCCATATATCGTAGCGGAACGTACTTTTGAACGGGTATTCCTTCAGTGATCAAGAACTCAATGAACAAATCACCGTAGGTATCTGGAACTTTTTACTTTAACATGGTTACATATTCATGATGTGGGTCAAGTTTTTGGGGATAGTAATACAGACGGTAATTCTGAGACCCATTGGTTTTCCACCAGCTTTTTAATTCTGTTTCTAATACAAATGGTCTACGGGAAGGCTATAAGCATAATTATTATCCTGTTTTTTTATGTTTTGCAAGTAACTGTAAGTAATTGTCACATTCTTTCAACATTTATAATTACAAATTATTTTACACAGTATTAGTTTGATCATTGATGTCATTGATGTGTTGTGTGTTGTGTGTTGCGATACGGACACACTGAAGTTTGCGATACTTTTAATCTTTTTTTCGAGTTACAGAAGATCCTTGTCGATCGCAGGACCATGCTCCAGCCGTCGCGCAAGTTGCTCCTCTTCGACCAGAGGTGAGGTGTTCTTGGATATACTGTTGATTCCTTCATCAAAGAACGTTTTCTTTTTTTCAGCCGGAACCAATTCAATCTGCTCCCGTTTCCACACCGCTGGCAGCTACGCAAACACCGTCACCGATTGATAGGGTTACGGTAGGACTTACTCATTTGATATGCTGTGTTCAGTATTAAAGAGTTTAATGCTTTTCTAAATTAATTGTTTGTGATTTTGCATTTTATTTGAACCTTTCAGGAAAACACTAGCGACACAGTCCTCTCTCCCCAACTTCATTCTTCACGATCACCTCCGACTGATCTGGAACCTACCCAACAACAAACGACCGATGATGCCGATGTATCCGTCGCCATTAATTTCCCATCCGAATCTGACAACACTCCAGCCGATGAAGTGACAACGCAGCCTATTCGAGAAACCCCTGAGAGTTCAACCACGAACGACAATATTCTTAGTCCTGTTGTGATTCAAGCAACAAGCACACCAAATAACGTAGTACAAGAGAACAACGAAAGGTTAGATATATTCAGCATAGAGAGGGACCTTGCGTATATATTAGGTTGGCCGGAATGTTTCAATAGGGGAAAGGTTTTTTAGTTGAGACAGGCATGAGATTGAATATATTTGTCACTATTATGGGTGAATTTTCACCAGCGTTTATGCAGTTTTTGAGTTTATGCTCTGTAGTATTCCGTTTATTGCGCTCACGATCTTTGTATAACTCCTACATTTGGCCAGTAGCTGTCTTCTTGTTCAAGCCAAAGTAGTCAACGAAAAGTATTAGGTGCAGAAGGAAGGAAACAAAGTTGTTCATCTTGCGAAAGAGAGGAGTCAGGAACCAGGAATGGAATGATCCCCAATAGAAAACGCATTACTGTAGTTATTAACATTAATAGCGTAGATTTCACAGCTAGTTTCTCTCCGAATCAACGAAGGCATTATATATTCAAAACGTTTTAGCCAACCTAATATTCACAGTATTAGAATAACTTCCGAGAGATACCTGGGGAATCTTCCTTATATGTTTTCATATCCCGGATATGCGGCAGGTGGCGCTGCGTGCTTCAGTTAAGCATTGTAGCGATTGCGACTTTGGTGGCATATTATCATTTCAGGACGATTGCAGTCGTGTCTTTGTCGAGCACAAAACAGAATAATAGTTGTATCAAATGTATAAATAACGCGTCCTATGCCGTGTTCAAGTGGAGCGCGCAACCACGCCCCCTCCATGCTCGGCATATGGAGTATGAACTCTTGTCATCTAAGTTCTCCAAATAGGCTCATACACGGATTGAACTGAATCAGTTAATCAAATTTCGATCCCATAAGCGGGTTTTGATTGTCAGTTTTTATTGGGTGACAGCGTTTTGAAGTTCCTAACACCTTTGAAAAGACCGTGACAGGTGCTTCATCAACTGGTTAGGTTTAATAGTGATCGTGTAACAGCGCCAAACAGCTGTGCTGTAACATCATAATTCTTCGAACCAAGAACATTCATGTTTATCTTTTTTAAATTCATCTAAATTGCTTCCATTGCATCATCTTTTCGTGTGTTACAGAAACCAGGAAACGAAAGACGACAGACATAGTTGGGAACCGAATAACGAACATAGAATGGCACATACAAATACAGCTTCTGCTATAGCTGCATCAGCTGCTGACCATAGTGACAGTACGACTGGTTCGTTGTCAACACGAAACGGTCCCGAACGCAGAAGTGTCCAAAGTCGTTACAAAAAGTTTAAAGAACAGTATGTTGTGTGCTATATGTGATTGAAAAGAATCAGACCGGTCCTTATTATATGCATTTTGAGCTTCTCCGGAATAATGGGGCGTTTGGATCAGTACAGAGCAGAACCGTCGCGTAGCGAATTTCGTTCGTCATCACGGACCGGCAATCCACTTATGGCGAACATTTCCGGCAGGTGTGCACTAGAAATATTGCTTATTTTTTGAATCTGTAATCACTTATAACTAGTACTAGAAATCTTCTGCTACGTCGTTATACAGCTCATTCGTTCCTTTATAAGTCACACATTCTCGAAAGGGGACGATCTTTTTCGGTTTCGGAGAATCGATTTGGTGGAAACTGGTTCAGTGCATCGACCAACATCTTAAATACTTTTTATCTTGATATGCTGATGTTGAATACATTAAACCACAAAAGTTAGTTGACGATCGTTTCTGTCCCTTCAGTTTCAGCTGCCACTTTTTACTATTGGCTTTGCCCACAGGCGTGAATAAAGCCCCTTAATGCCCTTCACAAATGATGTATCTAGAGCACCGTAGCCAACGATGCGAATGCCACGTGGCAAGGACCCGATAGGCTTTCGATGTCGGCTGCCAGTCTGCAATCATAACGGGCTTTAGTCATGTTAAGAGTAAAGTTTAAGTTTTTCTCAAGAAGTCCGCTTGATAGGAATAATACTGAATTCGAAAATTCTTCCATTGTTAACAAAATGCTTCTTCAATCTCCCTAGACGGATTCTAGAAAAAAATCCGCTATAAAGCGTTTTTATTTTGTATTCTGGAACGACGCGGTAGTAAAACCAAGTTCTTTTTTGAATTACTGGCCAGTTATACGAATAAGGAAATTATAACTTTAACGCACTGCAGCAGTCGTTTCATGTGTGGTGAATGGTAAGTGATGAAGATCAATAATTGAATGAACGTACTATAATAACTGCAAATTCGTTCACGGGCGCAGTGTTCGCAACGCCACCTCCGCAATATTGCGTCAGTGAAGTAGAAACCACAAGCTGAAACTACACCAGCGAGTAGCTGTTCTTGATCGACTCAGTGCAGCTCATTCAACTGTTTTTACGACTATGAGACAATTGAAAAAGGCGAAAACGTCACGACGACGTCATCGAAAGTTTGCAAAGAAAGACGTCAGCAGTACTAGTAGCGACATCAGCAGTACTAGTAGCAGCAGCAGTATTACGATACAGCCTATTCGATTCAATGACTACGTCATCAATATGTACTGAATTTTATTTTTGTAGACATGCCTTGTTCTTGGTGTTTGTATTTTTTCTTGAACAGTTTTAGTGTGTTTCTAGTGTGGGTCGGCGTTCAGTCTTGGCAGCGGCCAAGAATTACGGGGTACCGCCAAATCGTTCAGCTGTAGATGCAAGTTTGTTGTACAACGTGAAATCTGATGAAGGTACAGTTAGCCTATTGTGCTTTTCTGATTGCATTTTTCATATAAAATGGATTAATTTAGGTAACGCATCAATGTTTCCGCAAGGTGATCCATCGTTAAGTCGTTCGTTTGATTTCAATCGTCAAGCTGTGTACGGCGACGACTTTGTGGATGCTGCAAGGCGGTACGTACATCGATAACAATTTTTCATCTGTACTATTAATGATATTTAATAGAAGTGTTGCCCTGATATTTCTTCTTTATCTATTTTTTTTACATCAAAACTGGATATTTCTTTCGAGGAGCTCTTTCTGATAGCATTATTCTCATTGTTCTGTCACTCAGTCTTTAATTACTTGTTGTGGTAGCGCGTCTACTGGGCGCATAAATAAATAAATAGATCATTTAACAACTATTTTTTTTAGTTTGAGGAGGACCCGTCTGAGTCGTCCGAATAGTCGGGCAAAGTCTGAATATGGCGTTGCTTCGGGAGAACATGAGCAATTTGATGCAAGGACTTTTCCTCTCCCTCCACCTCAGTACGCAGGGTTCGTTGAAAAAAGCATACAAACCATCACTTTTCTATTTAAAAGTATTATGTTTGTTCAGAAATTATCCTGCTTCTGGTCGCCGTTCAGTACAAAGTTCAATGGGTGGAATACATCCTCAAGAGTATTACGTCCAACAAGCTCATATGTACAAAGAACGACGTCGGCCTCAGTCGACATTTGATCCTCGAGCAATGGAAAGGTGAGAATCACTCGTTTTCATAGCACAGAATATGTGAGAATCACTCGTTTTCATAGCACAGAATATATCTTATACCGCGTTTACACTTCGCGATCGACCAACCACGACCAGGGGCGCTACACCGCCAAATGATGCACCACCGCAATGGAACAATTCAAATTGGCAGTATGCGAACGCGGCCCTACTGAACTGCTGTTGGTGGCGCACCGCTTGGTGGTGGAGCACCCCGGTCATGTTCGCGCGATTCAGTCGCGTGATCACGAAGTCTGAACACGGTCTTAGACATTTCATTAGCTATGCATACTGCTTTCATCTTTCCATATTTTACGTCCATGAACTTGTTGTTTCTTATTGCTTAAGCACAGCTAGTATTTGCTCCACTAAAGAGTAGTCGTTTATTTTGATCTGAGTTAGCGCTGGAGTTTCGATGTTCTGATATTCTTCCTTCCTTGTTAGAGAGGCTATTTATTACATTTTTATGAATATGTCAGATTTTTGTGCATGGAAATCACTGACTATGCTTCCTAGTAATTTTCATGATATGATTTCTCTAATCTAATTTCTATGTCCAGGTATCAGCGTACCGGAGGGCGCTACGGTCACTATGATACGTATGAAGATGCTCGAAGTAGTGTGTCCGATGGAAGTGATTCGGATAATGCTGAAAGAGGCGAGAGCGAAGAGGAAATCAGGAAGTACACACAAAAGGTACAAATCTCTAACGTAGTGGTTCAATTATTTCTACTCATCATCCCAAATTAAGGGACGGTTTGGTGGTCCTGGAGAGTCATTTAATTCGATGGCTGTTGGCGAGGAAATGTACTATTTTGGTGCTATACATCTTGATCAGGTAGCTTTTTTTACACTTCAGAGACGAAGTTGATTTTTGAATGGGAGTTTTGTGAGTTTTATGCAATAGCTTCTGCATTTCGACGTTTCTGAGCTAGACAGTGGGTGGCATACGTAAAACCCTTATTTCGGCATATTTGCTGTATTAGTTCCTCTATTACGTTCGAAAATATGAAATTGTACATTTCTTTACGCTAGATAGAAAATGTCATGTAGCAATATTAATAATAAACAAAAATAACAAATATTGCGCTCTACACTTTTAGGCGCGTGTTCGCTCAATTCTTATGAACTTTCCGCCTCCTATGGAGTATCATCGATTACCACCGATCGAGAAAGCTGCCTACCTCTTCTTCGTAGCTGTATACAAGAAACAGTATAGTGATATTGGTGATTTCCATCGTAAATTTAATCGCGAATACTACAAATACACGTGCGATGGCGATACCGATAATGTCGCTTTATGGAAGGTAAGTTGTCTTCACTTATTAGGGCGCGCTGTTTGCTTGCTTGCATGCATGCGTGCAAGCGTGTCGACCGTTTCTACCATTGCTTTCAGATATGCAAATCAATGCAAGAAGAGTATCATTCGAAAAGATTGGCTGAGTCGCAAAAAGCGTATGAGGCTAGCCAGCGTCAATTGTTTAGTGATGATCGCGACAGTGTTGATGGGTAAGTACGCATTCCGTCGGTATTTGTACTGCTTACTTTTACATTTGTTACTCACTATCTACTCTTCATACTTAAATATTGGTATTTGAAATAAATCGCAAGTGTGCTTACATCAAGTGTGATTATTAAGCAAGGAAGACGATTATGTCCCCTTAGGGGACAAGCCACGGCGTCTGATTTTGAGAACTAGTTCTGCTCCGAATTTGTAAGTTTTGATGAAGCAGCAATTTGAGCAACATGGGAGGGATTTATACCGTACTTTATGGGCATCATGGGGACTAAAGTGAAATTTATAAACATACATTCATCGACTAGTGGATTGCAAGCAATTCTGCTTCCACTGCAAATCGATGGTCTTGTGTTCTTTGTGAGTGTCTCACTTCCTGTTACAATTAATGATTTGACCAGAGATGGGCAAAATCCTTCTCTCTGTTAGGGAATGCGCTACGATTGCACCTCATTTGCTCATTCCTGGCTGGATCTAATGTGTAAATCCCACCCTCTATTTCCTGTAATCTTCAATGACTGTCTGGCCGTCTGGTTTTGTAAGACTTCTCTATAGACATCAGTTTCGCTGGGAGTCTGGGTACTCTATGTTTGATAGGTTGTTGGAGCGGATCTCCTCAATTCGCCTCTTATAGCTTGAGCGAGCGGGCAAGTATGGATGAGAATCATGATGATAGGACGTCAGACATACTAAGCATCGATTCCAGCCAACGAGGTATTAACCTGAAATCAGCTTTCTAGCATTTTACATATTTTTTAGTCATTGAAAAAACTTACAGCTCCATTGAAACATCGTGTACCGCATGCTTTTGTATCATTTGGTCCCGGTGGGAAAATGGTAACGGTGCATCCTGATTTGTCTGTATCGGTTGTGCAGATTGATGATATCAAAACGGTGGTGTCAGATCCCTACACTGTACGCCTCATTGACAGCGCCCAAACATTCAAAGGTAGCCCTCTAGTTCATTTTATTGATCTGTGAAACTAATGTTAGGATGTTTAGGTCCACTTCTCATTGGTCAGACACCTACGCATTCCGTGCGCCTTTACATTGAACGGCAGATCAAGCGAATACGAAACGGTGAAGTAGCATCGGAGAATCCTCGTGATAACGATGTCATTGACTGTCTACTTATTTGGCAGTTGCTTGGTATCATCGTGCAGCAACAAGGGGTTAGATGTCTTTCCGAAGTTTTCAAAAGCTGAAGAAAGATTCATTGTTTCATTTTTTATTTTCAGCGTGTGACTGGCCCTGACGTAGCGCGGCTTTTGGTGGAAGTGGGAGGTTCCGCACCATCCAGAGCCTCTTCAATGACGCATCAGACGCACCATTCAGGTCGCGAGAAAAGTGTTACTCCTGCAGATAGTGTGACCACTGCTGTTGGTCCAGTACGCAATCAAGCCATCATGGACGCCCGAGCCTATGAACGGTTCACCGAACTGCTCCTTGGCGGACACATCGCGGTAGGTTGTGAATCATGAGGGTAGCAAACAGAAGATTACTGTCGGCTTTTAGTAGTAGTAGTACCCGATATCTACACTACTTGTTCAGAAAAATGCAATCTTACAATTGGCAATTACAGGGTAGAACATTCAGACTGTTTAACCAATTCGCTATTCTGCTATTACTTGTCAGCCCTAAACGGGTCTAGCAAAAAGGGTCATAAGGAGCTCACGAGTTCCTTCGATTAAAGACTGAAATGTGAAGGTTGCTGTAGTGAATATTGTCCATTTAATTGAGCTACTCTGGATTCAGGAAGCGATTGATAGCGCGCTTCGTGATGGCTTATACTCGGATGCTATGATATTGGCTAGAAGACTGCTAGCGCATGATGTTGCGAAGTTGGCCGAAATCGAGGAAAGATTCATCGCTACCCGTCCTCAGTGCAATCCTGTAGTAACCTTGGTGTCTGTTTGCAGCAAAAAGCTTGTTCCAATTCTGGTAAAATTATTCTGTGCTTTCTAGTAGAACTTTCTGGGATGAATGTTTCTGTTGTAGATGAATCCTACCGGTGAAGACTCTGGTAGTTGGCGTACGCATGCGGCTATTATACTCGCTAATCTGACTTCTTCTGAGGCTATGGAAACTGTAAGTGGTTTCAATCAATTTTATTTACTATGTTCCTAATCTGCCTGTTTTCTAGGTTTATGATCTTGGAAAAGCGTTAGCCAAACGAGATTATAATTGCGCAGCCGATTTCTGCTTTTTGGCAGTGTCTGTACTGGCTGGTATCAACCCGTTCGCTCCAGCAGCTCCCTCGTAAGTGCTGTGACTGAGCTAATTCCTCTACCTCTTGTAACTGGTTTCTTCTACAGAACACACGAAGCCGAAGGTCGTCAGAATATAACATTAATTCATGCATGTCTTCCTGACGATGACGCCACCTCTGTGCGATGTCGCTACGGGTAGGTTCTGTTCACGTCCTGCTTCTCTGACTCCTGCCAGCTACAATCTGATCCTTTTTTGCGAAGGCATTTACACACAGTGTAATAGTGAATTGCATTCACTGGAATGCTGGTAGACATTTAGTCGATTGCTGCGCTGAACACCATCGGGCATACGGCAACTTATCGATTTTTTGATATTGTAAAAAGCGGCTGTTTTTTTTGTGGGTTGAATCTAGCAGTGGGTGCAAGCGTGAAGGCGAAGCTAATGGGCTTAACAGAAGTAAAGGAGATAACGAGAGTATAAAATGCCTCCACAGCTCTTGGCGCATAGATTAGATAAGTCGGGAAGGCGCGTTAACAATTTCATCTTTCCTACTTGTCTTCAACCGTGTTCAATTAGATTCTCCTTGGTCGATCTTCATGCAACTGAGATTTTCGACTATGCTGTACGGCTTTCGGACGCAAATGCATATTCACCTCTTGGAGAATCGCTGGAGTATCAGAGGAAACGCATTCAGTATGCCCATCTCATAGCAGAATTCGGAGGCTTTGCTACGGATGCATTCAAGTGGGTTTTAGATCAATTAACGTGTGAAACGTAGAACAATAGTCATCACCACTATAGGTATTGCATGGAAATAGCACGAGCAATCTGGAATTACTACCATTTTCTGTCTGTAACAGAACTGACTTCTCTTTGTGATTTAGCTGACAGGTATGAGTGATTACAGATTTTCTAGTAAATGCCATGAAATGCTCTTTTCAAGACTTCGATATGCTGCATCAGCGAGTGATTGGGAGACATCGTGGATTGCCAGTCTGCGTGCGATGATCCAACAAAAGCAACAAAATCAAGCAGGGGAAATACCTGAGTCCAACCTTATCGCTCATCAGCAGTCTGCTCCACCAGTACCGCAATCTCCTCAGTCTCCTGTACGAACTTGTATTCTTTAAAATTTGTTTGTTTAGCACATTACAGCAGGATGTGTCCTTTATAAAAGTGGAAGGAACTTCAAACTGGTAAACTTCAAAACAGCATTAGTTCCTTCGTAAAAGTGATTGTAGCCTTCAATGCTTTTTATGTGCATTCTCAGCAGTCCACCGATCAGTACGGTTCTCCTCTTGCGGAAACGTTGTCTGCAGCTGATAACGAGATCATGTCTCCTGCGGCAGAAAACAGGTGAATCCTAAGAGTTCTATCTAGTTTTATCTAGTCTTCAGTAATTCTAGTCACGCCTTCCGAAAATGTAATTTAGATCAAGATCTGCATCGCTAAGCTCTGAGGCACGCGACTGGCATGCTGTGCGCCAGGATCCGCTTCAAATGAGTCCTGTGCTACCGCGGTCGGCTGCTATCAACGCTGTAGTCGAGGAGAATGATGGACGTGTGTCCCGTTCTCGAACAGTTAGCAATGCTAGTCAGCATGGCCATGTAAGTGATCGCAGTGTATCTGATTGTATGCAGTACAGTGACATTTCATACATGAGCTGTTCCGGTTAGGGTGTGCGCTGCATCTTTCGAAAGATAATTGGAGAGATGTCCACACTGGACCAGTTACTCATAATGCAATCGTTCAAAAGATATGCATTCTTACAGTATGACACATTCAATAAGCAAACGCCCGAGATGTACATGCATCCACCAGCGCAGTCGTATGCTGGTGCTCATGGATATGTTAACATGGATGATCCATCCACAAATTCCGAGGATACCAGTGCTCAGTCAACAACGGAAAGCACGCCTATTCGCACATTGGTAGAGGTTTTGATTCACTTTGTTTTTTTTTCCTTTGTTGACCACTGTCGCTATTGCCAGTCCGAGGAGTTATCACAAGTTTGCTGGGTAATGGGAAAAACTTTTGTACTGAGCAGGGTCTCGTTCTGAGGAGTGTACCTTCACCTAGAGACATTTCCATAACTGTGGTCAATATAGGGGGTTGCTAAAAAGTATCCGCGCCTATCTCCAAATTTTGTTTTCATTTGTGTTTTCTTTCAGAATCATCACACTGAAAATATGTCGCTACCGTCGCCACCTGTCCCTGATTACCAGCGAGTTCAGCCACAACATTTTGTGAGCTCTCTTTTTCTCAAGAAGGCCTATTTACGTTTTACGGCTTTTGTTTTAGCCGCCACAACCTCCACAGCCTGCTCAACCTGGTAAAAACGCTGCGCCTTTACCACAGAATGGTTTGCCGGAGACCAACATGAAGGTATTTTTTTTTTTTTTTTTTTTTTTTATTTCAGAAAAGCAGCTCCACTCAGGGTGCAAAGGGTTTTCTGAGTAATATCAAAGAAAAGCTGATGAAATCGATACCAAGCGGCAACGAAATGATTCTTCCTGACGATAGCAAACCAAGCGTATGTTTTTGCACATTGAAACTAAAAGCGATGTGCGGATACATGGCTGTGTTCAGATTGTCTGGGATCCGGTAAAAGGTCGTTATGTGGGTGCAGGTGTGGAAGAGGAAACAACTGCCGCCCCACCACCAAAGTTGGACAATGTTCCTAACGCTCAAGCAGGTACCGGTGGTGGCCTTCGTGCTGCTCGTACAAGTGGAGGTTAGTTGAACTGATTTCGTGTGAAATGTAGCTTTACTTCTCCAGTTTCAGGTTCTCGTTACTTCAACCCCTTGAACCAGGCATCGACAAATGGAGCAGTCTCTCCATCACCTGCTGCACCAATGCCGGTTATGCAAGTCCCAGCCACATTCGGTTTCATTCCCAGCATGCCTGGTGAGTGTGTGGGGCCTTCTATGCAAAATTTAACCAGATAGCTTCTCTTATCGATAAATTACCGTCTGTTCACCGATTGCCTGAACTAGCAACAGCTTCTGCTTGGTTATTATCGTCGTCCCTAGGTTTGTCTGGTTTTTCTAACGGTTTCGTATGAGGCCTCCATTCATCTTCTTCGCAAATCACCATAGCGGATTCCCAAATGTTCCTACGAGGATTTTCGGTCGTTGTCACAAATCGCTGATTCGCAGTTATGCGGCTTACGTGATACTTGTACCCTAGATGACTACTGCAGTATCCCTGATCCTTGATTATTGACCTCTAAGAACCTACGAAGTTTGTTCGAACCCTCTAGCCAACCTATTATGGATATATCGGACTTCACAGTTTACTACTGTTTTGTGAATTCCGCTGCCTAAAATTGATGCGAAGACTTGATAAGGTTGAAAATAATCTAGTCCATTCGCCATCTTAAATCCTTTCAGATGACGCTGGAGAATCCGTGGATCCGTTCAGCGGTCAAGCGAATCCGACCGTACACGGCGTTGAGCTAACCCAGGCTCAGTAAGTGAGTAAATTTGTTAATCAAGGCTGTCGTGTTCGCCTCGGTGTCTGATATGAACGTGCAATGGTCGGTGGTCATCTATAATTAGGTGACGAGTCGCTCCATTTTTTTTCCGTGTGATTCTCCGTGTCATGTTGGTTGTGGAAATATTTGGGTCGTATTAAATGAAACTGGGGATAAAAATCATATAGAGAATAAATATTCGCATTCATAATCGTATCGCTTAACAGAAATGTTATTTGCTCTCTTGTGGTCCTAATATCGATTGTCTGTCTTTTATTATGCTCTCGGTAATCATTTAGCGTATATTGGGCGGTGTTAGGGTGAGAGGTGTGTGATTTTGGTTCTTTAGGCAGGTCGTTTATATCCCTCGTAGAGAGGCATCGTGATGTTTTTTATCCTGGAAATGCCAAGTTAAAACTTTTGATTGTGATCGTTGCAACCACATATATGTGCTATGCGGTTGTATTAGCTGAATTATTAATATTATTTGTTTATACGTTGTTTGTTGTTATAGTGAAAATAAATTATTCCACAAATTTCATATGGTAGGGGAACATTTTCTGCTGGCTCTCCATGTGATTGACGTGTGTATCCGTTGGCAACTGTTTTATATCTCAAATTTCTCTCAAATAAAGTATAGAGCTTCTTTTCCTCTGAAGGTGTGTACTATTGCGATTGCAATTCACTTCGTGTACTTCGAGGCTACCTTTTTTCTAGGTCGGTGTGTCATTTCGGTACTGAAAAAAATCTGACTTTTGCGCTCTTTGGTGGACTTCTTTACGTTCCCCCGACGTTATGTTCCGCCATGCTACATCATAAGCTTGTGATTGGAACGGGTGGGTATGCAGTAGGATACTTCATAATTACTGCGAAGCGCACAAGCTAACCTAGCATTTTCTATTCATTTGGCATACTGTAGCACTCCAAGGCGTGTGAGACAACCAATGGGTTGTGAGACTGAACTGCTTGATGATCGGGTCAGCAGATTGGCCATCGCCCCGTATTTCCAGGGTAAACGACTGAGGGCAAGCTCAAGGAACGATTGTGTGTGTGGTGCGTGCGTGCGTGCGTGTGTGCGTGCGTGCGTGTGTGCGGGATGTTGTGCAGCTTGTAGATTTCATGAATAGGGAGTAGAGTCTGGCTGCCACACTTGACCCTGAAAGTACAGTCGAGTTCGCTTCGGACGAAGATGCGTTCCTACTCCACGCTGACAAGCGATTATTGCGTTTACTACGGTTTTAACTGGTACATATGCTCTGCGTCAAAATGCTTCACCTCACTTAAGCAGCTCCTCGGGATTTTGGCCGCATATTTAGCTGGGTATGGTATTTTGTATGCGCTAAGTCAGTGATCTTGCTCATATTTTTCAGAATTTTTGCTTTGAACTAGATGGGCAGCAGTAGTGCACAGGCGTCAAGTCAATATGAAGGAGTATTGCAACGTAGTAACAATTGTAAGATCAGCTAGACTTATTGAATGAAAAAGTTGACTGTAGCGTAATGCTCAAGGTTTGGTACTTTTACGACAACTGAGAAATCGTGTGACGCGTCTGCATAACCTATTGTTTCACTCTGCACCGCCTTCAAGGGAGACATGGCACGCGTATTTTCGTCAAGTTGACCGAGTGGACAAAGATCTTCGCGACTGCTTCGAGTATTTTTTCCTTTATTTTCTTACTACTACTTTTATGAAATATTTTTTGCTCCACTGGAACTTTTCTTCTTTCTGACTATCGATATGATTGCTTTTTCTTTGTGAAGGTGCCCAGTAGGGAATGCCCTACAACACTCAAAGACACAACGTACGCTCAGTTGCGAGGCGCATCCTTGGCATGTCTGGGACAAACGGCCTCCGGTTGTCGAAGCGTAGCGGTTCCCCCGTTCCAACATGCACGGGGACGGGGTAATTCATCCACACTCCGCCTAAAACGCAACCTCCAGCGCGGGCACACTGCACGCTGCTAGCATCTCCCAATCCTATCGGTAATCTGCCAGCCGCCTCCGCGGCGCTCCTGAAACTTTGCCAAGTCTTGTAATTGCGCTTTCGTATGGATTGAAACGTAAACTCCTAATGCAGATAAGGAGTTCTTTATGCTGCAAACTCTGAATCAGATGATGACGAAGGCTGGAGTTGAAGGACAACTACATTGTTTCTGCAATTCCTCAAAAGCCGCGTTCCCTGCAAAATGAGACAAAAACGGCCTAAGCGTCCTGCTCGTTGGTTAAAAGCTTTTTCATGGCTCTGCAGACTTTGCAGCATGAACAACGCCTCAATTGACAATCCAAAGCGCAAATTGCAAGACTTGGCAAAGTGGCAGGAGCGCCACGCGCGGCACGCGCCCGCAGACGGTCGATAGATCATAGATGGGATTGGCTAGCGGCGTGCAGCGTGCTTGCGCCGCAAGTTGCATTTTAGGCGGAGTGTGAAGGAATTGGCCTATCCCGTAGATCCTCATCTCCGCGCATGCTCGGACGGGGAAACCCTTACGCTTCGACAGCTGTGGGCTCGTGAGCTGAGATATGCCAAGTCGCATCTCGCAGCTGAGCGTACGTTGTGTCTTTGAGCACCTACTGAGAAGACAGTCTCCCGAGAAATTACAGTCGCCGTCACCCCTTTGTATCTTGCATGAAGTAACGTCATGGCAAGACCACTTAAACTCATACTTAATCAAGAACCACTGAGGCAATTATAAATATATTAGAAGCATGGACATTTTGGAAGATGACGAAGGTTGTTACGGGGGGGGGCACTGGGCGAACCCTCGGTGGGACAGCGCTTAGGGCAAAGAATAACAGAAAATAGGCGTGGCCTAGTCTCGCTGCGAAATTATCCAACTATCCTAGCAACCTGAACTTTTGGACGCTTTTCAGAAAGCAGGATAGAATCCATGGCCCTCACTCATCTGTCACAGCGTTACCCATGCCCATGAATAGTCAGGGATTTGTAACAAAAGCGCACGCTCCGCCGCATACAACAGTGTGTGGCAATTAGAACGAGCTGCTGAAGTGTTCGCTGCGGATGAGGGCGTGTTAGCACGGCTGCGTTTAGCGCGGCGTTTAAGCAATTTTTTCTTTTTTTCTGCGGGCAAGCAGCAAGACTGTATAATATTCGTATCAGTCGTTTTCCACCAGCTGTTTTCACTTACCCGGTTCAGCAACTTGTGCTGGAGGCGGCCCGTCAAACGCTGGCACAGTCACGCCCCATCATTCGCAACGAACTGGACTTTAATTAATTATTTGCTGATTTCGCATGTATCGTGCATCTGCATTTGCACATCACGGTCAAGGATGAAGCAAGCAAGCATTGGCGTTCACTCCACAATTTCCAGCAATCTCGAGAGTCATGCGAAAGGATTGCCAAACCAGTTGCCTCAAATCGAACCTTTGAACCGCCTTCGTGCTGTCTTCCAGGTGCAGTTATGACTGTTCCTGTTTTTCTTGCACGTATTTCACGGGCAAATTCCTTTTTTTTTCAGGAAGAACAGCTTGATGTTCAAGTCGTAGAAACTGTGGAATCCATGATTGATTGTGAGAATTGGAATGAAGGGAACTATGTAAGCTCTCCATGCCGTTTCATCGACTCAAACTTTCATATGATAGTGAGTGTTCAGCAAACCTACATGTACTTGGGTGAATTTCTTCGACTTCAACGGCGTCGCCCTTCATGTGTAGTTCCAAGGCCGTTATCGTGTTCACATTGGGCTACTGGCATGTCACCCCACGCTCAATTCGAAACAGCTTTTGCCCAGGTATCTCTTATCGACAGATATGTTTGTCCTTCTGGAAGTTGTTCCCATTTGACGAAACACCACTTACCTTTCTTTTTGTAGTTCCAAAAGGAGTTGTTAAAGAATAAGACGGGTATCTTTCCAACCTTTCTCGAGCGTACTGCTGTAGGAAGTATAGTCGAGGTAAGAGTTAGCTCGCTGTATTTCTCGATCGCTTTCATATTTTGAATTGATCTACATATATGTGTTGATCTACATGTATTTACAGATTTTATGACAGTATGTTCATTACTGTTGTTGTTTTCCAGTTACGATACGGCGTTTTGTTTGAGAAGCAGATCGTCTTCACCCAAAAGTTGTTAATGGTGGAAAACGCGGGAGTCATCGAACAAATTCTTTTTGTGGCTCCTCACGAAGAGTGGACATTCTATACGGATCTCGGAGAGAAAAGGGTGAAGTGTTAGCATCGATGAGTTTGGTTTTTTTTTGATAGATTTCAAAACTCCTGTCCAAACATTGCATTCATTGTGACCAATAATTATAAGTGTATTCAGGTAGACTTGGCCCAGCCTTCACAGTATATTGTTTATCAAAAGTTGACTACCCAAGCGAACATTCATCTTATGCAAACGATTAACACACAGGAAATACGCTGGTGGGTTTAGTTGGAACCAGCGTTTGTGTTTTTCTTTGGTTTAAAGTCAAATGCATCTATGCCTTAGTATGTATAGGACTCCACAGACGTTACATCAGTTGAGCAGTGCGTTCGGTAAACTGCAACAAGTGTTCGATACAACTTGTCGGAACTGCAAGTAAGTTCTGTCCATTATAGTTATGTGAATTCGACGAAATTGATGATTTTTTTAGAAAAGTGATGAAAGACTTCCTTCCACCGCTCATCTTCGATTTTCGCAATTTGAAAAACGCTCTACATGAGACGTGTCGTTAACTTTATTTCATTTAGTCTTTTTTACGAAGCTGTACCATAGGTGTGTTTTTCCTCAAGTTATGTAGTTGTTCATTAATGACGATCTGAGAATATGGCTCCGGAGCGGGCTGTGGTTAAAGGACTGTACACTCCAAATTGTAGATTGAGATGCGCTGGGCGCAGCTACGTACTTCGTTTGAAGGTGGAGGTGGATCAAGTTCGCAGCCACGCCTACCGCCTCTCGAGGACGTAGAGTTGAGCTGGTAGCGCAGCGCGCTGCGTGTCTGCGTGCTTTGCCTGTGGGAGGAGCACCAAACAGCACCCAGTTACCACTGACCCTCAGCCATTTTCGAGTGACGAAGGAAGCACACTTTCACAGCTCCTGACCCAAGACTACAGTTCACCTCACACATGGGAAGCTTCAAACCACAATGCCGAAATTCCATTCCGTGACCCAGAGATTGGGTAAGGGTTGCTGCATACTCATTTTGAACGTGACGTATGATGGGCTTTTTCGTGGGCATTTTCATGAAGAACCTTTGTTATCCTGACTTGCGCTGGACAATGACAAGACAGCAGTGCATCAGAGCGCTGATACCAGATCAGAAGCACAGCCGCCGGCACACTCACATAATACGTAACCACTCTCCCTTCGCCTCCAGGATGCCTCTGAGTATGCCGCATGAGAGAAACTGGAGGATAAGGAGCTTTTGTTCAGGACCTTTGACACATTTGCTGCTTTTTTCACAGACTCTTCATATAGCATATCCAATTTCAAATTTCGACACCATCCCCCCCCCTCCTCACCATCGGCTTTTAGTGGGCGTGGAACCATTGCGCACTGCTTATCTTGCAGATATAAAGTGTAGGGATGGCTTGAGTTCCATGTTTATTCGATCTCTGATTGAATGTTAGAATACCCCCTTCTAGTAGTAGAGTAGAATCGACACGACATACATCTGTTTTGCAGTTTAAGGTGGCCTTATGAACTCCCAAGTACCATCTTGGTTTGGATCGTTTTAAATATGATATGAAAAAGTTTTAACCAGTTCCAGTTTTATCTAACCCATTTACTTGCCTATGTACATCTAACCCCCTGTTTCCTAATCTCACAGTTGTTTTTCACAGGTGACTATGTCAATATTATGGGTACTGTGATGTAATAAAATTTCAAGCTCGTGTTTTGCGACAGTCGAAAAGGTGTTTGAAATGCGTGTATGACTTTCACTCATGAAGACAATGAATCAGCCATTGCTCAAACCTGTCAGTATACATCAGGCACTAAATAGGTGATGCTATGAGGGTAAAAAGCTTGGTCAGTGCTGAACTGTCACTGGCTGCTCAACGAAAGAGATTCATGAAGTGGAGTTCATCTAGTAGTAGAAACTGATACGTAAAGATGAGTACTTCTCAATTCCATAAGTATTAGAATAAGGATAAATGTTTACGTTGGGAAAACGCTGTTAAAATTTTCAGAAATTTGAGTTGTTAGGCGCACCCACACAACGACCTTCCAAAGGCAAAGTGAAATTTTATTATGCTGGAACCAAATTCAGAACAAAACAAATTAAGTACACTACATACTTAACATTTCGAAAATCATGCAGTTTCACTGCTTACGTATCTAGCCACTCTTCTGCAAAAGTCTTCTACTCGTTCTTGAGCGGGCCCGTTTTGATAAGTTTCCTTGCTCATCTTCCCTAATCCCTTTTTGCAGCACTCTAGCGGAACTTGAGGAGGGACGGGTGGAAGAGGTGGAGGAGCTGTGGAGGAGCGTAAGAGTTCTTGAGGAAGAACGGGTGTTGTGATTGCAGGCATAGTCTCGAAGTAGACATCGCCGTGTTGTAGTAACTTCGAAGCATGCTTGAAGAGAGACAATGACTAGTGAGGTGTGTTGATGTTCTACTTATACAGCTAATATACAGTCCTCATCATTGCGGACCGGTGGGGCGTGTCAGCCAGTATGAGTGTGCACACTGTTGAAGCCGTTTTCAGCCTTTTTGTTGAATTGCGTATGCGACAAAAAGTGGTAGAAAACGAGTAATACGAAGGACGTAATACAGTAATGTCACTTGTCCGCTTCAACAACTCGTGCAGAACGACTCTAGCACCGCGCCAAACGCAGCCGCACTGTCATGCCCCACCGGTCCGCAATGATGAGCACTATAAATACCGTTCCTGATGACCTTCAATTTGGATGTGAGCTCAGCTAGGTAAACAGAGAGAAGCTGCAAGAAAAATAGAGTGTGAAAGGCATTCTATTAGTATTGCCTTGCCTTTGGAATGTCGTAAGATGTGTAGGTATACCTAACAACACGAACTTTTGCAAATTATGACAGGGTTTTTCAACGTAAACGTTCATTCTTACACTGATGTTTATGGAATTGAGAATTACCAATCTTTACGAATCAGTTTCTACTATTGGATGGATTTCATTCGATGAATCTTGTTAGTTGAGCAGCCAGTGACAGTTCAGCAATTAATGGAGCAATTAAGTGAAGTCATGCCGCGGGCAGGCCTAAGGAGGTGCAGGTGATCTCTGTACACTTACCATCCACTCCTCCAGCTGAAGGTGCTCACCCTTGCTCTAGAGCTCTCCCTTGAAACAAAGAAACAGAACAATAATCCCTTGAAACCCTCGATTAGCTATGACCCATTTCCAGCGTTTGAAAATACTCCTAGAGGTGAGCGTTTCTTTATATATCCCCATTTCGACATGACACTCTGCTTCATTTATGTATACCAGTCGGATCGCCCGCCTTCGGCGGACGATTTTCCTTATGCGTGTGACCCTCCGGCACAAAAAAATTTTTTTTTTGCAATTCCAGACTATTGGCCGTTTCACCTTTGGTGTATATACCGCCCCCCCCCCCTCAAGTGGATGGGCTGTGAAATTCGTAAAGGCGAGGGTGGAATGTCAGTACTCGATTTTTTTCGAGTCCATTTCAAGTATGTCTCTTCAATTCAAGCTCGTCCCACGTCTCTTATTCCAGCCGGTTTGCCGCTGCTCGAGTGGTTTCGGGTCCGACTCGAAATTCACTTGGTCCCTGCCTACCCAGACAAACGCCGTTCGACTGCAGGCTGCCGTGCTCTTCCCAACGGCCCAGTTCGGGTGTGCCTCCTTCTGTTTATTCTACCTGCTTACTCTTTACTCAAGCCCGTTCCCGCTGCCCGGGCAGTTCCTGGTCCGAATTTTGAAGATTTCAATTCGGCCTTGCCCGTTCCGAACAAACGCCCCGCTCACTGGTATGCCCCACGCCCAGTGTGGGGGTAGTCTAACATGGTGCAATAGAGATGATCGTGTCCCCGTCCCTGTGATCTTCCAGAGGAATTTTACAAATCTTTGTCTGTTGGCACTTCGGTGCGCGCTCCATTGTGTGCGAGGCGTAACATAGTTTGTATGTATTCGGTATATTTTCAACATGCCCTCAGCCCCCATCCCAAAGTTGACGGCGTGTAAGAGATTGTTGACAACGTTTTCAAAAGATTACGTCCGTGACACCACTCAGCTAAATTATAGGCCCCGCCCATTGTGGGCGGAGCCTGTTCTCCTATTGCTCCGTCCGACAAACACACAGACAACTTCTGCTTTATATATAGAGTATGATAACATGAACGATCCATATGTAAGTGAGCGTGGTGCACGGAAACAGGAGAGTGAGCTCAAATATTGATGAGTGGAGGAGTGGAACCAGCTCGTGCTTTCAGAAGTGGTGTGCGTTCCGAGATTGACATTGACACACGCGTATTTGCCTAGAATAAGAGTTTTTTTTTGGAGAAAACATTTCCACAGGCGAGGAACCTTCACGAAGTGAAAAACGGCCAAGTTTGGCCAACTTAATACTATTTTTGACATGGCACAGCATGCGTTTCTCGCGGAATATCTCCTTTAGAGACAACTGCCATCCTGTCTTGTGCTGGACAAAGGCATTTTCACAACTATCTCAAGCAATCAACTCATCAAAAGCGTAGCTATGGCACGTTCAGGTGAAGTATGCAGCTACGATCTCTCCATCCCAGGGATAAGAATATATCCCATCAGGCTTATACAACTGTGAGGAATTGTAATCACCCACCCGCGAACGAACTTCCTCCTTGAAGGTGTGCACTATTTCGTAAACTGGACGCTGTTTGGTTTCAGGAAGATTCCTAAAATGGAAATTTGTAAATTATGAATGTTTTGCGATTTTCAGGATGTTTCTAGATTTTGTTCTATTTGCGTGTCCTGCCCATGTGATGACTAGCGCGGGCACCGATGTATAATTCAGTGGCACTCGTAGTTGTGCTGAAAGCGCCTGTGCTCAAAAGTCACTCTGAGGAAAGAGTTCATGCGTAGGCACGGCAAGCGTTATGCAGTATGTGTACAGAAAAAATGTGTATGCCGAGAAATATTCACCGAATGCTAGTGGGTTCATTAAGTTTGAGTTGAATAAACACCCGAGGCTGTTAAAAATGGGATATTGGGGTGCTCCAAACATTTTTGGTAACGTGGCCACTGCACTACCATCCTAAGGAGGTATGGATTGAACGATGATCTGATCCGCTATGGGCTTGAAAGCAGTTATGTGGATATTGCGGAAATAGATGAGAAATCAGGGTAGTCATAATAATACTATTCATCAGTACGCTGTGCGTCGAACGTGTACTGTTTGAGCAGTAGTGGTTGAGCGCAATGAAGTGGGAGCCGGTAGTGAGAGATTGCCAAAGCTAAACTACTTTCTTCCCAGCTCCATCACGTTCATTCTTTCTGCAAATAATCTCTCATGTAGGTTGTTAGTGCAGTGAAAAGTGGTCGAAACGTATTTGATGTTCTCTGCGTCGCGCAATGATAATTCCACCAAACTATCTCAAACCTCGATTTCTATGTCTGTTTGTTTTCAAAAAAATCTCTTTCGAGAAAATGTATTAAATACAAATGCGACTTTGAACGCTATCACCAAACTTCAACGTCAAGAGCGGGAGAGTTTATTCGTTATTTCTGGAGAACAGTCACCTCGCCATAGCCGCAAAAGATAATTCCATACCGCTTTTTTGTTATTTGTCATTTCAAAATCTATAGATTTTTCTTTCTCAATCTAGATTTTTCTTTGTCATAAAGAAAACCGCTGGCGTATTATGAAAAAAAAAGCTGTTTGTCGCAAAAAAAGAACTAAGGAGAGTGGAACCATCAAAGCCTGAGAGATTCATGCCGAAATAACGTAGTCTCCAAAAATATTGTCACAAATCCTGATATAATCCTGTGATATTTTAGTCAAAAGGTTGAAGTACGATATCGCGCCATAGGGGAAGAATTTGATGCTATTGTGTTAGTAAATGATAAACTCTTCAAATATTACAGTCTAAATAAATGCTGTTCGTTCTGTTCTCTAGGTTTACCAACTATTACCATGAAAAAAAGCACTTTGTAGCAAGAAACCACTGCGAAAATTGAGTCGTGCCCCTTAAATGTGCAGCCCAGTCAACACCAGCGAGGTTATCCTTCATTGCTTATGTCTTTCTTCCTGTATGTTAGTCTCTTGGATTTTTTTTTGTTAAGATGGACTTTTCGTCGTAGGTCATATCCTAGTAGTGAAAAACCTCAAGAGAACAACAAGCGAACTTTAAAACATAATATAAACAACCAAACCCAATTGGTGTTTTCCCTGCTTCACCTTTTAGCAAACACGACTCGGTTTTCGGGACAGTTTCCAGTTCACCTGATAAGATAACCGGCCAGAAAGGGTTGACATATAAGCATGGGGATGTAAACAGCCGGTGCAAAGAGCGCGTTCAACACAGGGAATGACGTCATTGTCGGTATTGTCGATGCAAGTGGAACGAAGAGCAGCACCTAAACTCGGAACGTATGTAGTGCAGTTTTGTAACACTAAGCTGGGATAATCTTTATAGATGACTTGCCTGTGCTACTGCAACACGAGCGGCCGGCGGAACAAGTTCAGCGATAAGCAGTGAGGCTACGGCTCCTGCTCCTGTGCAACTGATTAAGTCGGATGCAAACTCATTGGTTGTCGCTGGAAAATAGGAATTCATATTTCAGCTAGAATGTGCGGTTTGGTGAAAATGATGAGAACAATTCTCTGACGACAATGTCCTCCTTCAGTATCAGGGAAGTCACAGTACCTCGCCTTGAGCGTATTCAGTTACTTATGTCTCACGATTTCTCCATGAGTTATTGTGGCTTGATTTACAGCTAATCAATGAGCATTGAAAGAGTGTGCACAAGAATTCGTCAGCGAAATGGCAATCAAAACAGGCGTACTGTTTAAGCACCAGCCGGCCCAACTGTGAAGTCAGTCGGCTCGTCAGCGTCTTTATCACTCTTCCAGCCTTCCCTTCTCCACGACCCTTCTCTTCGTATTTTTCTAGCAATATTCTGGCTTTGCCCTTCATTTCTAGCTCTTAATCATTCCAGTGATAATTCGCTCTTTAACAAGTAGCCCTCACTTTCCTGTACCTAATTCTCACATGTAGTCAGGGCACAGCATCGTGATGTGTGAAATAGCGGTGTCAGCGCGACCTCCCCCCCTCCCCGGAAAACGATCCTGGTACGACCTCCCCCTGGTTGTAGTTGTTTGTTCTGACGAGAAGGATTAGATACGCAAAGACTCGCAAGCGCTTGCGGTCACGCTATGATTCCATGGTGGAGCAGATCTGTTGGGCGGGTGAGAATCGCGGGGCTTTTTCTGGGGGTAATACCATTCTTAATTTGGGGCTCTTAAGGAAAGAAACGCGACATTTTATGTCTCTACTTGGTAATGTCTCCACTGTTGCGTTTCCTACTACTCGCAGTCTGAATCTACCCCGTTCGTGAAACTTCTCAGATGGGTTACGGACGCGCCAGTGGTGAATCGCGAGCTGGTTTTTATGCTTTGAACGAGAATAACGTTCCTTCTAACACATCTTCCAAATAAGAACATCGCGGGACGCCCAGATGCGTTCTTCATTACCAGAATGCAACTACATTTTACTTGAGACCCGTAGTTGAGAAGAACTTTAGATGGGTCCTGCGGTGACTTCTGAGCCACTCGAGAAGCTTGACTCTTCTGTGCCATTGTAAGGATAGTCATTCGCGAAATTCATACTGCCTCTAAAGCAGCATAGTCCCTTCGAACTGAGCTCAAAACATAATTTGGTGTACTATTCGATCGATTTGGTCCTACGGTGGGGGTGCGCCTGCATTAGCGCTCAGTGCGATAGGTGGTGAAAGATGTAAGCTGCTGATTTCAGGTGAAATTTGTCATGCAAAGCAGATGTTTGTTCAGGGTGTTGGAAGGATCGATACGTGCGAATCTATTTGCGATATATTATCATCATCCTACTATTTAGGTTGTCCCAAACTCTGGGACTATTGAATTAAGTTTTCAGGGAAATTTTGATCAGCTATATATATGTCACTCCATTGGCAACCTTGTTGCCATTCGCGCCGCAGTGTGGTTGCCGTGCTTCCAGAAGCTCTTAGTTTGTGCCAGAAAAGGCAGCTGGGTCATTTTTGAGGTACTATCAAAAATCGTATTTTTTTACCAAGAAGATGCCCGCTGTGGGATTAGTTTAGATGGCGATCGGAAAGAGCTAAGTCAGGGCTACACGAAGACTGTGGTGGAATTTCCCAGCTAAGCTTCGTGATCTCGAGCCAGTGTCGTTTCAAATGTTTGACCCTGAGGTGTGGTGGAGTAGGCAAACATTGCTCGTTTTATGACCAATATGGTAGAGATTTTCACACCCACTTTGGCAGTTGATTACAATAGGGCTCCTGGTTACCAATAGCGTTGAAGGAGGCGAATTCGCGATCCCGAGAGCGGAGAAAGGTACCGACCAATATACACAGCTCACCGCCCATCGCTGAATTGATAGGATTGCGGCGATCGGTTCTGCCCTTTCTGGGGGATGTAGCCCGCTGGCGCTAACAAGTGATTCATCTAGAGGCACCCACTCCATATCCAGTTAAGTGCTGTTCAACCAGCCCGTAACAGCGGAAGCGGGAAAGAAGTTGTAGACAGTACCCCACATGTGCTCGCCCTTGGAGTACTCGGTCAACTCATGAGAAAAATTTTGACGCGAACTTCAGAAACTTTTCTAAGGGAGCGAGGCCATCTCTCATTTGTGTTTTGGGACCACGTATGAAGTGTAAGGACTAAGATAGCAAGTTTGATTCGTACGGATAATTGGTTTTAATCAAGAAACACAGTAGGTCAAATCAAGGCAGGTGGCTTCTTGGACGAAGTTTTTCACTCCGATAGAAATTACAAAGGAGAAGCATTTGAGCAATTCCAAAGCCGTACTTGTGGGAAGCTAACATCAAGATCTAAAATAAGGGGAAATGCCGCTTGTGGCTCCAACCACAGTTGTGGTTTGGTAGCGATTCATATAGCGAAGTGTGTCGAAAATGATGAATTTCAATTACCCGTTTTTCATATGAGACAGGCGACTGCGAGGGACGGTGAAGAAGCTGTGAATGCTTACCTCACACCACTTCCCATAGACGCACATAACTGGATCTCGAAATGGTGCGGCAAAGATCTGGTACGAGATTCAAAAAGTGTCCCAGAATCTTTGGGACAACCTAATAAATTACTAGTTCAGGCGAACTACTGATATGCTAATCAATGGATTGGCACCATCGATTCGGCGTTACGACCCGCCCTCTCCTCAGAGGCTAGGTTCGCACAACGAACTGAATCCTGTTATGTAGTTGTTTTAATTTGACGAGCTCTCTCCTTTGCCTCCTTCAGATCTGCCTTATACCTCGCCCTCGCCTTACGCTGCTTTCTCATTCACGTTCTTCTTGTTTTACATATTTTATAATTTTTATATTTATCCAAGAATGCTGAGGGATGAATAAAAATCATATCTCAGGCGGGACTCGAACCCGCTTCTCACGCTTATCGAACAAGTGCGCTATCCATTGTACCACAGGGCTTTTTCCTCTCTCAGCTCCATGGCTTTTGTGGCCATACCCTGCAGCATTCCCAGGCTAATGTGATGCCGGTTAGCTGATATCTGCAGTGAACCATGAGGCTGACGGCTTTACATGTTTCCAAAGTTGCTTTTATCAGTGATAACTGCTGTGTAATGCTAGCTCCAAAATATCACAAGAATGCTGAATTACGGAGAGCAGTCAGACCGCAGGTGGGTCTGACTTTGCCCATATCTATTGGAGCGCGAACTGGCGTCCGCTAAGCAGCATTTTTTTTATTATAATAACATCTTCGATCTGCCATATTACTCATGGTGTTTTTATTTGATTGTGGCTGTTTACTCAGTACTAGTGCTTAATTTTGGTATAGTTGGGATCAAAATTAAGCTACTTCAGGCTTGAGATTGCTTCTGAAATGGTCAATTCCGTGTGACAGTCCTATCTAATGTAGTACCAAGAAAAGTGAAGCAGCCATCACGAACGGAAGCGCACTTCCTCATCAGCCTCTTGGACTTTTCTTCACCTGCACTCCGAATTTTTCATTCAAATTCTCCTTTGGTTCGGTTCTACTACTAACTGTGTATTTCACCTTGGAAACGTGGAGACCGGTGTGGCCACTGCTAAGCAGAAAAGCGTCCTGTCAGTCCGCGAAATCTGAACGCTGCCAAGGAGGGAGCTTAACTTCTCTTTGCAAGGATTTTTATTAAGCATTATTTAGGACGATTCTGAAGTGAAAGCAGACAGTTCAGACTCACCCATAATCATCGTGATCCATGACGGGGATATGAAGAAAACGAGCAGCTGAGCGGTGAAACATATATAGGATTTTGAAGAAAGCCTAGAAAATTTCTCTATACATTAGTGCATTTGAATTAATAATTATGCTTCAAAATTTCAATAGGCAAACTTCGAACTAACATAGATGGTGGCGCAATGAATACGACCCGGTCTTCGTCCAATTTGTCGATGGCAAAAGAATGAGAAAGTCAATGGAGTTACAAATAAAGTACTCAACCAAACTCAGCATGAGTGACCTGAAACGAGATTATTTTTACGGGTCATGTTCTATGTCTCCTTGAATTTTCTAAAATGACCAAAAGAAACCATTAAAAGCTGAAGGAGTTGTGAGCGGATGAATGCGTGGTTGCGTCGTGATTACGAAGTGCGGTTTGTTAGCCATTCGACAAAACGACTTTCTTCCACGTTATGCCGCTTGAACTTTTTCTTCGATTTAAGTTTTCGATTTTTGTTGATTCCTGCGCTATAGAGTTTCGGCAGTAGTTTGAAAATATTTTATCACGGATGTGATTGAACCAGTCGTCGTAAGGCGGTCCCAACAATTAGCAGTGGAAGCCCGCCGCTCAATCCAAGGCTCAATGGGGCTTTTATTGACGGCTTCTTATCAATAGGCTTGCGTGGATCTGGTTACAGTAAAGTCTTTCAGAATGGTTCATTTGAATACTAGAGGTGGTCCTATGGAAATCTTGCTGTCAAAACCCAAAGCTAACCTACGTGCAAAGAGCTTCAGGGCTGGCAGCGCGTATTAAAGTTGACAAAAGCATAGCTGCACGATTGTCACATGCTCTGTTCAGTCACCGTTATTTCCAGCAGGTCTAGCTCTCTCGAAACTGATCGATAACGTTATTGACCAGTTGGTTAATTACTATTATTGAGAATCCTTTGGTCTTACATATTATAAGGTGTTGATACTGGAAACTTGTATATGCAGTAATACTCTGAATTTATCACATATGCCTTCTGCACAAAGTAATACACTTAAACTTAATACCGCTCGCCGCCGCTTTAACATGAACGGCTGCTAGCTCGAGTAGCCAATCATGAAGAACTCTGAGAAGCGCTGCGATTGCAGCAGCGTTCAGCTTTGTCGCGCCTCAACGCTGCCCTTGAACCCGCTAACAATTACCCTCCAATTGTACCAGAACCCATCCTTCCTTTGTGTTCTTTCTTCCGGTGTTACACCCCTTTTCACTGTTTCTGCATTTCCAACTGATACTTATCCTCCCTTTTTTCACTTTAAACATTTAATTTTAATTGTACTTTTGGTAAGCAGGGTACTGTGGTAATGATTTGCATACGCGTTTATTTATACATATTTTCGAACATTACATAAGTAGCTTATGACAAAATCATTATCTCAAAGTCCTGTATCAAAAACTACATTAAAGTTCAATATTAAAGTGAAAAAGAGGAGCTAATAGTCAGGTATTTAGAAGGAGAAACAGTGATGGGGTTAAATACCGGAAGAAAGAACGAAAGGAAAGATGGGGTCGGTACAAATGGCAATTTGGATTAAGGTGTAGCGTGCTCAAGGGCAGCAACGCGCGTTTGAAGCGCGACAAGTTATTGAACGCTGCCTAAGCGGGTCAAATCGACTGCGCGTCTTCTGACAAGCCAGCTGAACCTGCTCGTTAACCGAAAATTTCGAAAGAAATGTGGAAATGCGGATCATAAAACCGCAGAAGTCTACGCTCTCCAATTAGTCAAAAAGATTGCTTGTGGGATAAGGATTCAGCACAAATGCTGCTAACTTATGACAGGTAAAAAACCTCACAGCGTGTGCGTCGGACGGTCATGATGATCGAGTTGCTTGAAATAATCTACAGTCATAATGGCCCGCAACTTATTGGGCTATGACGGGGCAAGGCTTGGGGCGCAGCAGGGCAGATTTGCCACCAATTGTAGGCCGCTCAGGATGCAAGGTTATTGGAAAGGCCGCATTAGGCCGCGCTCCGACATGCGCCGCATCACACCCTATCTGTTTGCAAGGATCATCATTGAAACAGGTACGCATTGCACACTCCGTGATTTTTTCGACAGAACTGGGGGCCAAGGTCGGAACCGTAAGCATTGTTTGGGAAATCCGAGATCAGTTTCATGACTCAGAAAGCGTTCGGAAATCAGTGAAACCTACTTCGTACCTGTTCACTGAAAGTCTCACAGATGGTATGCACGCATTTACGAATATGCTCTCTCTACGGGCAGTGGAGAAATTGTGAACATCAATTGTATAAGCAATGATTACTTTCATCGCCTGAAATCTGTAGACGAAGCACATCAGTAAGTAATACAGGGCTTATGTATATTCTCAAATAGTGTACGAAATTCCATAATTTCAATGATCATGGACCACACTGCGAAGGCATAATCATAGTCTCACCCATGAATCTCACAAAATCCGTGCTTACACAAACGTTTTCAAAAATGCGCGCGCATACCAGAAAATGTGGTGATTACAAATACAATTCGCATGCCAACACCAAAGTTTAAGCTTGAAAAAAAACTTTTTTTTCGTCAATTTTTTCAAAAATGGTCGTTGCTGGCAACGAAGGCAAAATATAGTTTAAACAAACACATATTCCAACAACAAGTGCAAAATAAATGAGTACATTTCGATCCAGTAGTCTACTGGAACTCTATTTCTCGAATTAAGTTGGAAATACGGTTGCCCATGTTCGATTAAAGATTTTATAGGCTGTCGGCCGACTGCCCAATGACTAACTCATAAGCTCACGGACCTTTGTGGATTGTGCATTTACTCTCATGGATCATACGCACCATGGAGCCCCTCACATCCTCGCTTGGGTTTTAGTCGGGCTACTCGCTGGCTAGGGAAAAGAGCGGTTTGGTGACAACTGAATCACGCTCGATGTGCTTTCGACTGTCAAGAACTGGTGCATTACTGAAGAACGGAACCTTCTTTGCTGATTTACCAGTCAGGAAGCAAAGAGAAGGTCGTCGCATGACTTTTAGATGACGGAAGAAATCATTTTTTTTCATACGGAGGCAGTTTCAGACGTTCCATTCATGCAGCCCAAACCATGAGACCACATCCACTGATGTCCGCCCGGAAATATGAACTTGTCTTCCCTCATAATCGTGGCCAGCGGGATCGTTTTCGTCGGAGCCGTCGCAGTGAATTTTCACTCATCAGGAAAGCACGACCGCGAGAAAAAAAAACTGAAAAAAAAACACTACAGACAAGCACTAGTGCACCGGCAGCCAAGTCAACCTCACTTCATTTGGTTCGGCAACATCTTAAGCAAGCCAATTAGGTTTTCGCGATGGTTTTTCGTTGGAAACAGTGCATAACCATATTCCTCCTATGGCTGAACTCGGGAGTTTTTCAAGAGACGCTTACAGTATTCTCTGAGATATTAACCTCCGAAAATGTCTTGATTTCCCAACACACACTGCAGAGTTGGATGCTTTCCAAGGATACGGCGGTTATTCGATCGGGCAGCAAAGAAGGATGTCTAGAGGCTCTTCTCAGCCTCAATATACTGGAGCTTCCTTGGAAAAATCGTTGATAGTATGATGAGTGCGGCCCGAATCGCGCGCCATTTGAGCGATTCACCAGTTTTTGAGCCTTCTTTGGCGATAAACTGTCCTTTTTAAAGTCCATTTATGAAGTTCGCGCTGCTATAGCCTAGAAGAGGAAGAGGTCATAATGATGAGAAGTTTCACGAACAAAATGAGATGCAGCCGGAAAATATGGGGTGGAACTATATTTTTGCTTCGTTGTTAGAACGACCATCTTTGAAAAAATTGACGAAAAATTTCCACTTGATTCCCTGATGAGGTGCGAAAAAACGAGTCGCATCAATATCACCGCGCCCGCTAGACTGCTGAAATGATTCCGCCAAAGTCAATGACTCCGTCTGGGTAGGTAGAAAGAGACCCTCATTTGGAGCATTCTTGATGATCTCCTCTTCTTTTCACCCCACAGGCAGGTCAACTAACAACTACACTTCTGTTTTTTAAACCCTTCACCTAAGATCGTGTTACTCGGTGCCGGCTTCATACTCCACCCGCGCTATCCTCAAAGTGCAGCACTAGCGCATAAACGAGCGCCCCGCCGCGAAACAGCAGTAGAGAAGAACCAGAATTGAGAGGCGCAGACAAATTGCGCATTAGGTTAGGCGCGTGGTTGGCCGCGCGACAGCGCGATGCGGAGTGTGGATCGGCAACGGGGTATCGCTGAATTTCAGCCTCATTCCCATGTGGGATTGAGCTGAGAAAGTGGTTTTTTACCGCAGCTGCGGACCCATTTACCCCACATACCACGGATCCAGCTCGTACGTCTCTTACAGCCTGTCGTCACGTAAAAACTTTTTTGGAAGAAACCCTCTCAAAATTAGTAATCACAGATATCCGAGAACTAGGCGCCAACCTCTCTCGATTTTTGCTGTTTGCGTCATGCTACCAATTACAATTATTCAAATTTTGACAGAATTCGAGGCTGCTCAAACTTTCAGTAACATTTGTATCGATAACATCATTGATAAACATACAAAGACAATGAGCCAAACGTTGTGCACTGTTTGAAATCTGTCACATATCTGCTATACGGTACCTCTTTTATTGTTTCATCGTGCCATGCTTCTCTTATAGTTAAATTTTTACTGGTTGTTAGACGTACTTCAAGGCATAAAGACTTCATAGCTTCGCCTGAAAAATATTGAAATCACAAAGTATGTGTATCGAATGATGAGGACCGTCTCACTTGGACTTTCATCAGTCCCGTGATAGAAACGATCGCTTCAGCTGCACGAACTTTATCACCATTTCGGATAAGCCACTTTGGTGAGTCCGGAACATCCACGGTGAAGATATACAACAATAGACATCTGAAAGAACATTGATCAGACATGCGATCGGGATAATTGAAGGATAAGCTTACAAAACTAATGCAATTCCTGGTACAATTGGCCAAATGGAGTTTGATCCGAGTACAGTTGGTAGACACATCCAGTACCTGAATTGAAGCTTTTCAGTAGCGCAAGCCACTTCCAGCGCTTCGCTCTGATATTTACCTTGTCTTTTCAGTTCCCTTATGTGCGGAGAGCAAAAAAGAACTTTCCCCAGCAGAAAGTAACACTTACCTAGCGCTGAGTGCGAAGTAAATGGTATGTAGTCAGGGAAGACTTATGGTGAGAATACCACAAGATTTTCTAGTATAAGCATTTTCAAGCATACCAACTTAGCCCTCACGGTCACCACCCATCCCTCCTTGCCGTCGGGCTCAGGAGGGCCTAGAGTTGTCGCGTCAGCCTGAAGAGGGTGTTTCGTCTTCAGGGTAGGGTTACCTGCGTGCAAACGCCTGGGTAGTAGCGGAAGGGACCCATCTAGCTGTTCGGGAAAGGCAGCTGTGTTTCATGACTGGTTTTTCATGGGTTGGCCTGACCAAGTCGCATACTAAGAATGGGCCAGGTATGCCAATTCAACGGAATCCGGCACCTAGATTGGGACAGTACCCAATTTCCCGATCACCCGTGCGAAAATTTTTTGGGGTACTCTCCAGAGGGCCCGTTTTGGCTTTTTTGACCAGCATGGTGATCTAATCAACTTTGGCAGTTCAATGGACGGCGAATCGTACAATCGAGCTGCTTGTTTCCGACCCTACACAGCACAACAACTACACAACTTCTATAATCTTGCGATAACAGTCGCATAGTGGACTGCCGCGAAAAAGCAAACGACAGCAGAACAAATCGAGTTTCTTCCTTGTTCGCATTTGGCAGGGGTGCCCTGTGGCAGTGCTTGTTGGGTTTGACAGCGCTTTTCAATGACGTCGCCCACTAGTAAGCGATGTTCTTTTGAAACACAGATTGTACAGGAACTTACATGAGCAAACTGGCCAACACATCTCCCAAGTGAAGAGCGACGGATGCGAAACCTAAATCAATTCTCGAAAAACTCTGACGTCAACCCATCATGAGTTAAATCAAGTCAGTGAATTATTAAAGGAATAAATGACGTTTGATGTTGATCAGGAGTCGGATGCGTCAGTCAGCACTCTACAGACTTCCTCGCCATTATCTAACACTACATTCACGAAGTTGTTCAAAGGTCTTGTATTCTATTATTTTGCCAATTTTTTATTTACTTCAGTCTCTTGTTTTCTCATATATTCTGTATGAACTCTCTGCTTCAATGTGCGCTGGTATGCATATGGTTGTGGTGGTTCATTTGCCACGTGGACCCATTCCTGCGTCTACCAATAAACAACAGTAAACAAGCTGCGAACACCAGAAAAGTTTAGTCGCTTACGTCATTAGTCGCACGCCCCTAACGCCCACTCCATCCCTTCGATGGAGTGGGCGTTGCGGCGTGCTTCATTGAACATGCGTAGGGTTTTCGTGGGATACTTTCATTTGATATCAGTGTTTTCCTGTCTCACGGTGGACAAAGTCATGGTTCCAACTATTCTGGAAGTGCAATTTCACTCCAAAAGCGCACTTGTCGCCACGTTGAAATGCGCAGCTACGGATTCCCCATGCCTGGAATATGGTGTGTAATAAGAATCTGCGAACAGCGCTTATACGCCCTTTCAGTGATTCAAAAGTGGGCACAGTCTTGTTCACTGCTTATGATGGGGCGTGTTAAAGGGATGCGGTTGGCGTGGCGCTAGCATGTTTTCCACTAAATGTTGTCGCTCATTCGCTCCAACAGCTGTGGATGACGGGCTATTGGCGCGCCGATTCACTGACACACCCCTTAATCTGCAGCGGACAAATTTTTGTATAAGATCAAAAAGCGAACCTCTGTGCTTATCTGGAGCACACTCTGTCACGAACAGAGAAACCACAATCATCTTAATCGGGATCGTTAAGCCAAGCAACAGTTCTCCGACAATAAAAAGCTCAGCACTTCCTAGCCAGCCACCCAAACCTTGAAAGGCACACGACGCGAGCCCAAGAAGGCACCTGGAGGACAGAAATTGTTTTTTTGTTTTGAGGCTCCACAACTAACATGAAGCTTACCTTAGCCGGATTGCGACGAATTTCCGGCCGTAAGTGTCCATTAATGGAAGGATCCATATCACACCTGATAAGACTCCAACAGCCATGCTCATTGATACCAATGTGGGTATCGTTGACAGCCTGAACATCAATTATGACAGATCAGTCGATCATTATGACAGATTTTGATAAAGGATCGCTCGTCCCTAAAGGCGATTCTCGATATTGTGGGTCGTGGATGTTCAATTACGAACCGGTGGCCGATAAGTGACTCACCAGCGGAAGAAAAAGCAGCAAAAAATCAAGAACACCCAGCACTCTGAATGAAATTCCTCGCTGATAGTCATACAGCCTCACAGGACAAGTTTTCCGAACTTGCAGGCCAATCGAGCCTCCCAGCCTCTGTGCAGCCTCTGGCACACAGTTTGTTTCTTTGCATCTCCCAGCACTAAATACCATCTAATTCCAGGTGAAAAATCGAAACAAAAACACTGAGAGAAAAATAGTTCTCGAAAGCTCTGTTCATGAATTTAGGACTACGGTAAGCAACGCACGACGAGATTTTGTACCGACGCAATTGTATCGCTTGTGGATTCAAGCAACGCCCAAACGCATTTTGCTTTGCGAGCCAGACCGTTATTGACTCCTTGTTTACAAAAAGAGGTGTACAGGAAACCAGGGAAAGCAGAACAATGGTAGAGCCTGCAGAAGAGTCGACAATCTGTCACTCTCTGAGGTGAGCGCATAGGATCGCGCTAAGAGGTAGCAGGCAAGGACGCATACTTGTATTTCAGCATGTAACTCGAGGTCTTGCAGACTGAAACCATCAACGTTTAAGCACCGCTTAAGGACATATTGTACACTCACTTCTGTTGGTCCGACTAACCTATGATGATCCTAAGCAAAAATGCTCACTTCAGCTGTTGAGAAAGCGTCCGCATCATACGGAAAAAATTGCACTGAGTTTAGTTTTGTTGGCCTAAATTCTAACCACGAACTTTAACTTTGCCTAGATGCAAGTACACAATCACAAAGTCAGTCATAATCGCATAATCACAAAGTCGCCGTTGTAGACACACCTCTTCACATCTTCTATGACCTAACGCGGACTCCGTGCTTTCCGTGCAACGTGCCTTTCCCTCTTGAATTTTTTTCGAGAAGCAACATGCCGTTCCGTATAGCTCAGCAACCATGGAAAAATGTGATTACTTACACATTACGATCGAGCACAATGCCGTAATGCCGAACGAATGTCTGGTTATACAGATTTGTCAATGGTCCAGGAAGTGCTGAGAATAGCATCAGCTGTAAGTCGGTGAACGCTCCGAAAAAGGTGAAGGCAAATAGTGTCCTCGCGAATTGCAGGGTGATCATCCTAAACATGAAACTTTTTGTAAGAATTCTTACTATTGTTACTGTTTATCATCTGCAAAACGCTGATGGACGTGGTTGTGAAGAGGGCAGAAGCACTTGCACACCTACGAAATTGATCTCTTTCATAGGCGAGGTGAGCAAGTTTGCCGTTTCAGAAGTTCGCCACTCCACCATTAGGATACGTAGCTGTGAAGCTGGAGGTTTCCTCGCTGTATGTTCATTCTGCCCGCTTACACTGTGCATACCGCGATAAGGTTGCGAACACGTACGCTGCTGGATTCGGGCGCAAACGTCCTGTATCAAACGTGTTGGCAAGATGCCAGAGCGCAGCCAAAGGATGCAAATAGTGGCGATCAGCCAAACATGAGAGAATGCAGTCAGGTAGGTGCGTCTGGATAGCTGACCGTGCAGCTGGTTATGCAGCGTGTTGCTTGTCTGTGGCATAATTTGTTTGCAAGAAGAGACATTCAGAAACACTCAGCTATAACAACACTCCAGCCTTACTGCCACGCATTTCCTAGTGATAAATGTTGCACCACACTACAGACCTGTTCACTGACCTGTTCACCTGCTCACTTCGCTCGTGCCGAAAATCAGTTACTCAGGCTAGCGTACATACAAAACGTGTACCTTGAATATGCCAGGAAAATAAGTTGAAAAATGCCGACAAAATTGATGAGAAAACATCTTGAATTGCTATCGTGTTGTGGTTGAAAAAACTCCAACGTAAGACATTGCAACAAGGTGTGATAAGAACTGCCAGCTGATCGTGCCTATCGCCTAATTACCATCTCACTCTACAGTTAGAACTGCTTTGTCCTGTACTATTTGTCAAAGCTCAAAAACTTATTCGTACAGATATTCTATGAATGCCTACGGAATTCTTCGAGGGTTGTTGATTGCATTAGATGGATAGACCGAGCTTATTTCATGGTTTCTTAACTGCATTGTGAACCAATTGCTAGCCGTTTCTAGAATAGTCGAGTGATTCCGCCTAGTGTCCGACGGCGCAGAAGGATCAGATATCACTTCGCTTTATCAATGTTAGCTAATGCCCAGAATGATCAAGCTCTCAGCACACAGGCGCCAAGACTAAACGGATGCCAGCCACGCTCACTCCATCTCGACGATGTCGGAGTGTATATACGACGACCGCCTTCGGTGTTATCGAAATTGTTTGGGTGATCAGTGCCGTCTCCGCGAGCGCCCCCTATTCTATACACAATACTGGACCAATAGAATACCAGTTAGTCATTCCCTATATATCGTGCTGCGTGGTAGGTCGAGATGTTAACTGAATAAAGACCCACCTTTCTTTTTAGTCAATATCATCCGCGTAATTATCTAAAATAAACGAACAAAGAGGGCGGAGGTGGTGCAGTGACAAGTGACGCGCTTACCACTCGTGCGGTCCCGGCTTCGAATTTCGTGGTCGACTCCTCAGGGCCAAACCATGCCTTCTAGCCTCGGGACAGTAAATTGGTACCAGATTACGTCTGGGAGGATTCAAGACTGACTTGTACATCGGCTGGCCCCCGCCAAGTCATTGTATAGCCACTACGATTCTGAATGGAAGTAGAATGCGTGCCGCATCCCACAAAGGGATGGATTAACGGTGAAGAGTTTTCGTTTTATCTTTAAAGGAACAAAGGTACAGATGCATTATTCCCAATGGAGACGTTTAAAATTGGGTCAGCGACTAGACGCCAGTGCTTGCAAACAGCTTGATGAATGGACTAGACATCAACCAGTACTGGAACGCTTACCGTTCTCTCTGATGTGAGCAGTGAGACGTGCCAGTTCTGGCTATAGTTGTTACACAGTACAGCGTTCTTTCGCTCATGCGAGGGTGGATTGAGTTAGTCACCATTCGGGACCTTTAATTAATTTCAACTACTTCGGTTAAAGCACGAGCGCGAGTCGACCGTTCAGAGGAGATTACCTTCATTTTGAGTTAGATTTAGCACTATGAGGAGGGGAATTCCGCTGAACAACAAGCCCTCAATAGAAGGCTCTGTCAAATATTCTAACTGCCTTGGCACAAGAAGGGTACCCCTGGTGGTCAAGTGTGCAGGTCTCACGACTGACGCACGGACAGGGAATCAGCTTCTGATTTCTATTGCCTTCTTTGTGAGTTGCCTGAGTAGGTAACCCACAACAATGTTTCAGTCGTTATTCAGCCACAGTTTGCATTTTAGTGTGCGGAAGGTGCTGCCTTCCAAATTTCCAGTCTTGTGTTCTGTGCTCGTGGGCTATAATCTGGAAGCCTCTCTGACAAGACACTTGTCCGACTTTAAAAACACGGTGACGAGTTGAAGGTACCGACGGTAGACGGGAAATAATGTTTCAACATCATTTTCCGCTCCCGCTTTTTCTTACCAGCTTATTAACATTTCCATGGTGAACAGAATGCCTACGATTGAATAGGGACAGGACAGCCGCGTCCTCGCTGAAGGGGAGTAACAACAAAAGCAAAGTGAGGCCCGTACCATTACCGTACTTTGGCTTCATTCATGTTAACTGTTGGGGACACGTGATCTACTACATGTAGGTATTTGATCTGGCATTGTTATAGATCTGCCTGGTTTGACTAGGGAATTTGACCAGGCAGAACAGTATATAAACGGGTCATTTTGTTAGATGTTATTCTACTTTCTGAAGTAAATATTCTGCTGCTGCTGTATTCTCAAGGACACAACATCAACCCAACCTACTAATCACTAATCCTCCTATCACAATTCGTTTTCACTGACAAAAGCGATCCGCAAGTTCCGAAGACATTGGATAAGGTTTGAAAAACCACTGGAAACCTTGTTCAGAAGAGTTTTCTATGATTTTTCAAAATGGCGAGTCCGAAACCAATCTCTTGCTTTTGGCACGACCATTTTGAGCAAGACGCCTCGTATAACTACACTCCTTATCCCTGAGCCAGAGTAGGCGTGGCATTTGAACATGGCATGGAATTGGTTACTCGAGGAATATTCCAGTCTGGGACAACTGTTATCTTGTTCTGTGTTGGCAGTTGTCGCTAAGATGAAAACATCCCATCAGAAGCATAAACAAGCGCGCCCTTCAGCTTAAAGTGAATGAGTGGCAGTAAAGCCTGAGGCAGAATCTCAAGGAATTTATGAGTAATAACAAACATCAGTTTCAGAAGCGATTATTCCATGTAAGCAACCATGTCAGTTACACGTCGCAGTAATCCATCTAGTCAAACCTGTAGAATGGTAGATAAGGTTAGCTTTAGGAGAATAGTGTTCAGTCTCCACGATTTTTGATGCGTATCGATCACAAGCGCCTAGTCATGCGGCAAGTTGCGCTTGGTTTTGGATCAGCCACAACTACAAATCATAACTAGTTTCTCAAGACAAAAGACAGTGAGCACAAGTTCCCTTCAAAAGCCGAACCAAAGCAGAAACCATTAGATAGGGACGTTGTTTCCTTGTGAACGCGTTCCAGTTAGGCTCTTATCAAACGCTTTAGATGATAGTGTTATGAAATCGCAATAGCTGAGCCATTTATAGTGTAATATGTAGTGAAAAAAAGAATCTCAGCAGAGGATACGTAAATGGGTACGTGCTGAATAAGGAAAGCAATGACGTCAACTCGTTCGCCATGTTACTATCACCAAGGAAGGCAATTCTATCGAAGAATTGTGCGGTATGGTGCACAGCCTAGCGCCAACTCCTGCACCTCTGTGGACGCTTAGAAGGATGAAAAGGAGCGATCTCACAGGTAATTCACTAACAACAGCTTCTGACATATGAGTCTATACACGAGCGAAGGTAGAGCGGAAGGACAAATATTTCAATCGCTAGGTTCCAGGAATCGAAAACAGAACAGAGCCCAGAAAAAGAAAGCTGGAAAAGGTTCAGGGTGTAAGGGAGATATCGGCAATGAATGAAAAGTTAAGCTCAAGGAGCAAAAGAAACCTCTGAATGGAATGGAGCGAAGCGCAAGTTGTGTCAGACCGTGGTAA